AGCTGTAGAAAGTGTGGGAAGAGCAGATAGAGACATGATTAAATGGGTGTTAAATGAAGAAGAATGGTCAAAGCTTGAAATTTCTCAATTATTACATGTAAGTTAATTATTATTTTTTTGATGCAATACTATTACATCATTTTTTTTTTTTATATTAACTTATTATTAATTTAATATATGTTTTGCTATTTAGCTTTTTTCACATGCAACTAAACAGTATTTCTAAAATCTGTGAATCTTTCTTTGCTAATTGTTTTTAAAGTTAACAAATTCACCATATTCCCTTCTCTCTCAAAGTTATAACTTGTTTGTGGTGTATTTTATAACAGTTATGCACCGGTTATATCTTTTATTATTGTTAAAACTTTCTATGCAAAAAACTTGTTATGATTGTAAAAATTCAAACGATGCACAAAAGAAATGTCAAAAAAGTTATCATGGATATAATTTGGCAATGAATCAATGATTCGCTTTAAAGAAAAGTCTAATATTTTAAAACTTACATTTGATTCTAATGAAGAAACCGTTACACTAAAAATAATGAAAAGATACCCAATAAACATTCGTGAAACAAATAATTTGACTTCATATTTTTACATTGAAGTAACATTGTTGATGATAAGTACTAAGGATTTTACTTTATAGTACACAATGATAGCTCGAAATATGAAAGCACTTAGTATACCAAATCGAGAACACTATTGTGTTTGAAAGTTAGAAAAGCAAAAAAAGTTCCGAAAATTGAGAAATGCATAGAGCAAGACATCTTGTCTCTTGTTCAACCTTTATGAAAACAATTTGCCTTTTAGAAAAGAAAGATCGGTTGATTGTTTTAGCCTCTTTTCTATGTGGTGTTATTTGAATCTAACACTATCACATTTGATAAATAAATTTTTTAAATCTGATTGTACAATGATTTGAAATAAGTTTGCTATTATAATTTTTAATAGAAATAGAGATAAAAATTAAAAGATATCTCAATCTTATTTATTATTATTTAAAAACCATAATTTTGTATGCCAGTTTATATACTTCTATTTCTTCTAACAAATAAAACCTTCTGTCAGATTCAAATCATTTCTATAAGTATCATCTACTCCAGTAAAATAACAAATGCAATAGAATTCATTATTAGTAATATCAAGTAGCTCTAAATTGTAAAAACTTATTAATGCTGAATTATGATATATTCCACAGTCAGAACTGCTTAGTATTGATTTATCAATTTGATTTTGATTAATCTTGAAAATAAAGCTTTCTCTGTTTTAATGTAACAAAAATCATTTGATGAATTATCTTTTAAAAAAAACATTTAATAACATTAATTCAACTGAAATTAATGCCATTACAAAGGTGAAATAAAATAATAATTTTTTAAATATAATTAATTATAC